GAAAGGCAAAAAGTGGTTTTGAGGTGCTGCACTTTCAGATATACCCTTGCTACATCTTTTTGTCACAGAAAAAACTGTCATTCTGTTTCTTCAAGGTCTTTTCAATCACTTTTTGAAAAGAATGGTGGTTAGAACTTTCAAAAATATAATTCACTGAATACTTTCTAATAAGGGCTTAATCTGGCTGTATGGTAGCATAGAATTTTTATGTTATTGTTGGGGCACATAGTTGACTTTTCTTTTTTTTCTGTCTTTCTGTTTCTGTCTTGGTCTCTCCATGATCTTGTGGATGGTAGTTACAAAGGAGACAGAGACAGATAATGAATAATTCAACCAAAACACCTGAGAAAGGCAGGGGAGAAGGGAAATAAAATTACAAGTTTGGCCAATTTGTACCAATACTACTTGCAGAAGAATTTCTCAGTAAGACAACGGTACTATAATTTCACCTCTACATAACTGTCTCCACATAAAATTTACATTATTACAACTGAAAGATCTGTATTGCAGTTTCTTACATGTTTGGCCTGCACCTACAAAACTCTGGCTACTAGCACAAGCAGCAACTTTATTATAATAGTAATCTTACAGACCAGCAATTTAAGTCTTTTGGCCTAAGTGGAAATGATGGAACTGGAATAGAAGTGGTTGCAGAAGTAATACATGTACTGTGTTTTAGAGTCCTATTTGTCTCTCTCTTCCTGTGCAGACCTGTGAAATAAAGAGTAACCACCCCTGAACAGATCGCCTCACACAGGTACAGGCCCTAGAGGCTGAAGTAGTGGAGGCACAGCCCACTGGAAGGGCAGAGACAGAGGCTGTGAGATGGACTCACAGGCAGGATCCTGTAGGCTGCATTCCAGAGAGCCACCCAGCAGCCTGCAATTTTTGGAATTAGCTTGATGGTGAGCTCCTCATTAGAAAGCCTGGCTGCTCTGAAATTCTATTTGGATCCTGACAAAAGAGACCAAGTAAAGCTGAAAGTACTGGAATGTGTTGGGCTCACAGTCTGTGGCTTTAAGGACAAGACTGCCTTCAGTGGCATAGACAGTGTCAAACTCAGTAGGCAACCAGGGCATCTATGAGCTTCTAGTTAGTTGGAAATATTCTTCTTTTCAAAGAGCACCCAAAAGAAATCAGGCTTCTAAATCCTTCATTAAGCTCTTACACCCTTTAAAACGCCCACCATGAAGTGAAATACTGTTCTAGAAACAGATCATGCTCTCTTGGATGCATATTTTTTCATATAATTACTTTTAAAAACAACTTATATTGTATTAATACAGTGGTAAAATTAATAGTTTACATCTCAAAAAATAGCATACAGTATGTGTTGAACACATGTAGAGGAATTTTTTATGGGGTTTCTTATTAGCCTCTGAACTTACCCACGTCATAAGCCTCATGTGACACAACATACAAATCATGTCCTTCTCTGGCTTCTTTATCCACTTCCTCAAAGGTTTTTGGTGGATTTACAAGCACTCCAGCTGGTATATCTGGAAATGAATGTATGGTTGGGGGAGATAAGGGGGTTGGTGTATTATTTGGTTGGCTCCCAATTTTAAACAGTATCTTGTTAAAGAAGTTGCTAATACTGTGGAAGAATGATAGTTCTTACCACATTTCTAGGCAATCTATAGTCAGTCTGTAGTTAATCTAACATGACATGGGACTAGGGAAAAAAAAAAAATCACAGAAATCAAAATGAACTTTTGCAAGAGAGCTTCATGGGCAACACATATGTGATTTCCTCCAGTCTATGGAGAAAAGATGGACAGGTCAAGGAAGTTTCTTTTATTAGACCTATTAAAATTGTTGGGAAAAGGAAAGTAAGTTGACAGCTACCTAAATAGTTCTCCAGGGAAATCTATACACACGGATCAGGAACATAGCTAAAGGTCCCACCAGTTACCGTATGTTCTTGGGTGCTTGTTTCTTCACTATAACTGAAAAATATAGTTTTAGGCCTTTCAATAACTGTTATAACAATTTTTCTGTTAAAATGGAATTGTTGGAAGTATAGAGCATGTGCTAGATACTAAATTGCAGATTATCTTGTATTTACAAGAAATATATTTTAATGGTAAATTTTCCTACCTTTGATGGTTTTTTTTCCAAATGTAGTATTAATTATATCCAAGCCCTCAGGTAACATAGAAGACTGATCATGTGTTCTACCCAAACGTTCTTCACGACTGCTATAGTAGATTGCTTCTTTCATGTCTTGTACCTTTTCTTGATAAACAGTTTTAGGAATTGGACTTATCAACGAAGCTACCTAAAGACATCACAAACAACACAAGAGGCAGGAAAACCAGCAAAATAACATCATTCACCCATCAATATGAGTACCTACGCACATTCACAAGAACAAATGCTTGCTCAGAAGTGTTCTAATGAGATCTTATATGGTTACACTGATATAATTTTATCCAACGAGTTGCAAACTGAAACTGTAGCTTGAGAGAAGGTCACTAATAATCACTGCTATGCTAAATCTCCAGCTAAATAAAATATTTATTACAACACAGAACTTTTTTTTTTAATGCTAGTTTTCCACTTGTTAATTTATACATTTTCTGACTGCAACCTCTGTTTTTTTAGCACATATTAGAAACTAGAGTCAAATTATAGTATGACCAAAACTTAAGTGATTTGCTTTTTCAGGCCGCCCATCACAGTAATGAGGACTCTAGAGAAGGTTTATGATTAGACTCTCATTGAATTTTACATAAAGAAATACTGAAAAAAAGTAGTAGCAAATACAATTGATCCAAACCTACACTTTGCAAACTCACTAGGGTTACAACTCTTCCTTCAGTTAATATTTGATTAATAATGCAAAGTCTTCAAAGACAGTTCAGGCTAAACAAATCAATCCGTTCATCACAAAACTTGTGAGGGGGACAGCAAAACCTCGTTGTCTTTCATTTTGGATATGTCTAATAAATGTCCTACTCAACATTCTCTAATGTCAGGCCCTACTTCCTTCATAAAAGTGCATTTTTACTAACACAACTGTTATTTTTAGACATGTGAACACTAACTATGTGATAAAATCATCAAAATCTCTTCAGTTGTTTGATTACAGATTACGAAAATAATTTCTGAAGAATACACACAAAATAGTCTGACATGCTCAAACCACCACTTTTTAGCTAACAAAATCAGCTTCAACCCAAAGGTAAGAAAAAATACATAATAATTACACCAAACTATAAGCATGTTCTCAGCAGTTTTCTTGATAAGAACTCAAATGCTTTTATCTCTGTAATCCATAAGAAGAAAGCAGCAAAATTTATGGATACAAGACTGTTCATTAACTTAAATCTTAAAATGAAATTAATAATTCAGTAGTCACTACAAAAATTAAGTCACTGATAAAAGTCACTGAACTTCAAGTGTTTTCCAATCTCAATCATGCTAAATAAATCCTGATTTGACCTCAGAATTCAGGTAATTCACAACAGCTGTGACATACTGCACTATAAAGCACTCAGCTATGTACCTTTATCCCTGGTTATGAAAAAATAAGCTGCTGTTATTAAGAACACTCTTAAGGGGTTCATTCTTAAACAAAAGTAAAAGAGTCACATTCTTACACTGAATGAGGAACGTGACTTTATGCCATGTGTCAAGTGAGTTGCAATGTCGGGATCATCTGCTGCGCCGTAGAATATTACTTTAGCACCAGGAGCTGGATCTGTTGTATTTCGAAACTTTCGCACAGTAGTTGGAGTAATGGGCTACATATAAGGCAAAGCAAAAACAATTTTACACCAGGTATTCACAAAACATTAATGAAAAGAAAATGTACTGCAGACATTTCAGTCTGATTTCACACAGGTAAGAACAAAATATGAGGATGCTTTAGGGCTATAACACATGCATATGCTCCTGCAGATGCTGATATTGTGAGTTTAAGGTCAACATAACCCAGCCTAAATTTTATCAAACCAGCGTTGCTAAGTTTCAACTCTTCTCATCTTTGATTTGGGTAACTGCTACTTCACATATTCTTTATGAAAAATAGATGTTACACTCATCAATTTCAGAAACCTTGAACCAAATTCACAACAACTCCACCATGAATGAAACAATTTTGGAAATCATTTAAACCAGAGTCTGAGGTTTTTTTAAATTATAATTTAAAGGGAGAACTGTATTTATGGGATCCGTTTGTGTCTCAATACCCTCTGCCTCTTCAGGGGCATGGGGAAGGGCCAGTGGGAATCACAATTCTGAGGGGCATCCTTGTAAAGAAGAAGTACCTCCATCAGAAGACATATTAATTCCAATAATAATTACTACAATTGTGTTACCATAGGAAAAAGCTGTCTAAATAATTCTATTCAGTCCTAACTAAGCATACATGGTGACTTTTATAAAACAGATGAAGTGAAAAAGATCTGTCAGAAATGTTTTCAATCCTGTCAGCTACTCTTTATGATCCCATGTGACAAAAACTAACACTGAAAACAAAAAATAGTACTTTCTAAAGAGAAGAGATGTAGAAAAAAATCAACAAGGCTTCACTGATTTTTTTTTTCCAGGGCTTGTCTCAGAGCACATTTGCTAATGGGAAATCATTACAAAAGTTTCACAAGGAGCGTGTGCAAAACCAACTCACCCTGGGTAACACCTCGGTGAGGCAGCTCGCAACCGTGCCATAAGCAGGACGCAACTTCCCAGCCTAAACAATGCAATAAAAAAAAAAAAGGCATAACCAAGCTCACTGTAATAATGCACACAACTAGTGTATGCCGCGCGCACTTTTGGGGGGAGGGAGAGGACTCGCACGGAGATGCGACTGCCCGTTCCAGACGCTGCCCTTCTTCCAGCCCCTTCTGGGCGAGACCCGGCAGAGGGGCGGGCGGCTCCGCGGCAGCGGTGGGACCCCTTCGGCATAGGCACTCACGTCCGGCTGCTCGGGAGTCCCGTCAGGGTCCGTCCCCTCGGGCTTCGTCCCTTCGGGGCAGGGCGGCGGCTGCCCCTCCATGGCGGCCGCTCCCCCCGCCCGCTCGGCAACGGCGGCGGCGGCGGAGGCAGCGACGGGAGCGCTCGTGCGAGGCGGTCGGCGCGGCCGCCCCTCACAGCGCCCCGCCATCGCCCTCGCACCCAGCGCCCACCGTCCTTCCCCTCACAGCGCCCCGCCATCGCCCTCGCACCCAGCACCCACCGGCCTTCCCCTCACAGCGCCCCGCCATCGCCCTCGCACCCAGCGCCCACCGTCCTTCCCCCCACAGCGCCCCGCCATCGCACCCAGCACCCACCGTCCTTCCCCCCACAGCGCCCCGCCATCGCCCTCGCACTCAGCGCCCACCGTCCGCCTCCCTCACAGCGCTCCGCCATCGCCCTCGGAACCCACACCATCTCCTCGCATCTCCCACCCCTGGGAGAAAGTCAGGAAATCAATTGCACTCGGGCTATCTTGTAACTGTCATTAAAAAAAAAAAAAAAAAATTAAGGCGCAACCACAGAGGTAGCACATTTCTTAGACCAGTCCTTGAAAATCTACCGGGTTTCAGACAGGTAGGTTGAGTCTTCTTAGGGTTGAAATGAGGTCTTACATGGTCAAAAGTCTGATCAAACTTTAAATCTTTATTACTGTAATAAAAACTACAGCCCCTTTCACAAATGTTTTATGCTGAGACTGTTCCTCTAGAGGAAACTGCAACTCCCATCCACCACACAGCACAGAGGTGGGTGACAGCATTACCCATATGAGTGCTCTTAGTGTTTGTCTTAAATGAGTTAACACCTCGTATATCTAAACCACTGTATTTGCCTTTCAGAAGCAGATGCCGGTTATTTCAGAAAAGCAGCATGGGTAAGACTGAACAAGCCTCACTGCTGTTTAACAGACCTTCGGCTCTCACAAAGACTTTTATTCTCAGATGACATTTAGCAAATTCTCCCCTTCCTCCCAGCAAAACATCAAAATTTAATCACATCCTGCTCCATTCTCTATAGTCCTACGATGACAAAACCAATTTTAGATAAACATACAGACCATAATCGTAATTAATCAACAAACATTACCAGCTGTTACCATTTTAGTCTCTGCTCTAACATTTGTTTGATAAGGATTTTAAATGAAGGACGCTAAATTAAAACTGAATTCTCAGGACCCTTACCTATAAATGGACGATAGACTCAGGAAGCAATTGCTCCCTGATGACCAGCTCCCCAGGCACTAGGGGTGCCTGACAACCTGCTCCGGCTGTCGAAATCATTGACAGTACACATCAGTGCTATGATCAGCTAACTTCCAGCACGTGTGAACCTAGCTTAGTCTTCTCCGGTAAGAAGCATCATGTTAGCATCAGCTGTGATCTAGCTGTGGCCATGTTAGTGCCCTTTTTCAAAAGCAGATGTGTTTTTCTGCTGTAGATATGGCTGTACCATGCTCCTAATACAGAACATCTGTGATCACTTGGGAACTAAAGAAGCTCTTTTAAATTCTTAATGTGTTTGGTTCATTTCCTATTGCAATCACATTTGTTGTTACTTAAAGTTTAGAGTGCTCCTGCAAAATAGTTGTTAGTTTAATAAATAAAATGATTGGTTATGCCTTGCTTTGTGATCTATTCATCTGTAAAGTGCAATTTTTTATCTAGTAAAGGCTAAATAGTGATTTGAACAAAACTGCAGGTATTAGAAATCTGGGAGGAATTTGATCTTATTGAGAGAAGTACCTGGGTAAGGATAAAGCTGTCAGAAGAAGAGAAAACTATTTATACAGAGGAAGAGCAAGTAATGCACAAATTAGACAGTAATAATAGAGCACTACAATTTTTATCCTTGTGTTTGTTGTATTTCTAGATGGCTCTCTATCTGTGCTCAAGATATTACCATTTTTTGTACATTCTGTACCTTGCTGATTTATTTTTACATTGTTTTTTCCCCGGTAGGTGGCCACACTTCCTAATTGAAAGAGTCCACTCAGACCTGATGGAGCAGGCTGTGTCAAAGGAAGAAAAAGAGGACCCAGCCATGTAAAAAGAATGCCTATTGCCAAAACAAGTAGAGCAGAAGTCCTCATCCTTCTCTTTTTACCTCTCTGTGGTTGTCTTCTCTTCAGCAGAAATAAAGATCCCTTTAAATCAATTTGAAACCTACTAACAATATACATTCTTTCCTATAATTCTTCTCATTTTAGGAATCAGTGTCATATTCATTCCTTCTTATACTGAAAGTTATTTAATCCACAGGAAGAATATGCATAGTGTGGAAAGGATCAGTAATTTTTAAAGATGAGCTCATGAATTTACAAAAAACAGTTGAACTCAATTTTAGGGAAAAAAAAAAGATCAAAACTCTTTTTAATTCAGCATGAATTTGTCATCTCCTATGTTAAAAAAGTAGGATCTCTAGAGAAATCTGTTTGGAAAAAGTTGAATAAAATTTTCCATTCTACAGCAGCAATTTTTTCCTCAACAGTACTTGACATATCACTTTTGCTGACATCCAATTCCCACAGTCTAGTACCTTCTTCTGTCTTGTTTAGGCTAAAACTGAGGAATGGAAACTGCCTAAAACCCTGTATTTTGCTTTCTTTATGAAGCACAAACACCCCATGTTCTGCAACACAGTTCTCACTCTGACTATGGTGCTGGCACAGACGGCAGTCAAAGCACTAACTTTGTAAATTCCTTAAGGTCTCTGAAGGTCAGAGAACTCCATGTAAAACGGTGCAAATTTTGTGAAACACCTAAAGGACATCAGCTATGCTGATGCATTTCGCTGTTGTTATTGCCTGGTTACTTTCATGGTTTTTATTCAACTCATTTACAGATAGTAAACTACTCCTTTCTATGTGCTGCACACATTTCATAAGGTATGATATGATGAAACCAATGTAGGTACAGAAAAAATGTACACAAGCAGAGACAGAAGACAAAAAAAGGATATTATAGCAGATGGACACATGAAAAAAAAATTGGGAAGTTCAAACACACTAAAGAGATTCTGCACGTCGTCTAAAGTCAAATTCCATTATAATTACACATCTAGCACTGGACTGAAACACAAAAAGGCTGAGCAAAGAACTCTGCAGAGTAATGCTAAAATGGGTGGAAATCCATCTGGTGAAATCATGACCCACTTACACAAATGTGTTAATATCATTCAGCACAGTTTCACTTTTGGTATTTGCCATATGACCCACGATGAAATAAAATACGAACACATGATCACTGGTAGGGCTGTCTGTGTGCTTTCAGCATTTTCCTTAAACATCTGGTTTTCCAGGCTACTGCAGAAGAAGGTCATCTTCACCACTAGCATTCACAGAGACCTGTCAAGCCCAAAATACACTAGTGGGAACTCGGTCATTTGATTACTGCCACACGCTCTCTTGCCTCTATTTCACACATTCACAATTCATCTTTGCTCTTTGCTGACCCTCTCTGTCAGCATCAACCTGCTGTGAACAATTTGGGAGCTTCACAAAGCAAGAGAGACACACTGTGTCATGACTGTTGTGGTCAGGGAGTTAGCCAGTAGGAACCTCCTGCAGGTAACACAGGCTTCCTAACAGCACACCAGTATCGTAGCTCTGCTGTTGTGTGATCCCAATTTCAGAGTGCATCCATCCCATAATCCAAAACACAGACTGCCTACATAGTTAACAGACAAAAAGCATATGAGATTTCCATTCATGCTAGCAGTTTCAGCAAAATGGCCAACTGCAGCACTTCTGAAGTCTGCTCAAAGCATTTTGAAAAATTCTCTAATCTCTCCTGCGAAAGTAATATGTTATCCCTTTTGCTTCCTTTTTGTTTGTGCAATTATATTACATTAACAGAATTCCTGCATCAAAAATTTGACTCAGCCTTGAACTTCAGGTACATCTGACAATCTGAAAGATTATTCCAATTCTAGAAAGCATTTATCTATTTATATTAGAAGCATAGAATATGATCCCTATATATGGAATATTTTGGTTCTCATTTCCTGAACATTATGGGCATTATGTTCTGTATTTTCTCTCATTCTTGTTGTGTAAACTAAATGTGTGGTTTCATGTTGCACCTAACTAAAGCTTACTGCCAAACAGGAGGTTCTTGGCCCATTGTCTTCTCTGAACTCGTACTCCTTTACTCTCACGTGCACCAGATCTAGAGAGCCTGCAGCCACAGCAGAGATAGTTCAATCTGCTGTGTTCAGACTACAAAATTATGTCCTTTGGTGAATAATTTTTGCATAACATCATTGGTTGATCCAACTCACTCTGCAGCTATACAATATCACAACTTACTCTAGAGGTTTAAGTTTGCAGCTGGAAACAGAAATGGAGTTGGATCACACCTTCCATCAGCAGTTCTTCATTTGAGAAGATTACGTGAAACATTAGATGTCATGTATGACATGAGCATTTAATCTCTGAATTGAATTTAGTTCAAGTTATTCTATTAATGACTTGATATTTTAATTTTTAATATTTTAATTTTTTTCATCTGAAACTGTTCATGTATGTACTGTGTCTGGCTGGAATGGAGTTAATTTTCTTCATAGCAGTGAATGGTGCTTTGGATTTGTGACTAAACTCGTGTGGATAGCACACCAATACTTCAGCTACTGCTGAGCAGTGCTTGCACAGTGTCAGGACTTTCTCTTTTTCCCCCAGAAGGTATGCTGGAGAGGGGCAAGAAACTTGGGAGTGAAATACAGCCAGGACAGCCGACCCAAATTAATGAAAGGGATATTCCATTCCCCCATATTCCAGCATCATGCTCAGCAATAGAAATTAGAGGCAGAAGAAGTCTTCCAAGTTGGCTGCTGCTTCGAGACAGGTTGGACCTTGGTCTGTTTATGGGAGGTAGTCAGTGATTTCCTTTGAATTGCCTTTTCCCTCCCTCTTTCCTTCATCTATTAAACTATCATTATCTTGACCCACAAGTTGTCTTGCTTTTGTTCCTCCCCTTCTGTCCTCTGTCCTACTGCAGGGAAGTGAGTGAGTGAGCAAGCAGCCGTCAGGTTGGCTGGATGCTGGCTGGTGCCTGAACATATGCTCATAACGTATATAGTAAAAAACATCTGTTTATCAGGATTCTGAGGTTTTGCTCACCAAATTCTGCAGTCCAGTTGAACAGAACAAAGCCAGTCAGAGGGTTATGACAAGTAGGCAGTACATCAGGGCAGGATTACCTGATTTAATGGACAGCTCTTACATTCAGCAAACTCACAGCTCAGAAGACTTGCACACTTTCAAACATGTTTCTCTGGAAGTAGGCTGGCATTCTACATCACTGGTGAACACAGGGACACTTTTACTTTTTTGAAGTCACATATTTGCTTTACAAAAACATTTATGTAACTGATTAACTTCAACTAAATAAAGCAAAATGGAGAAATTATTACTCTGAGACCAAACTGGTATCGAGGGAAAAGTATATGGAAAAGAACTGTTAAAGATGAAAAGAAAAAGAAAAATCTGTTGTTACTCCAGTAAAACAAACTTCAGTATGTTAAAGTATTGCTATGTCCATATTAGGGAAGATAAAAAAAAACCACAAAAAAATGGAAAACACAAAAGCAGACAGATATGAGATTTGTTGGTTTCCCTCTCATTCTACAAGGCCATTTGCTATAATATTTTACAAGCAAAAAAATATTTCTAAAGCAGCACTAAAGAATGGAGATTATTAAACAAAAACAACTGTGATATGATTGATTTAACCTTTCTCCTCTGTAATCAGCATATTTCTAAAGTACCAACAACAACAGGAGGAGATAAAGCTGCACTGGCAAGAGAACTGACTGAACAACTAACAATAAAGTCATATTTTATGAATGAACAGCATTATGGAGCCTCACTTCTAGCACAACACTGACCACAGGCCTTCCATAACATAATTTTTGTTTAATTTAAATACATGTGGTTGAACCCAAACTTATTTTGAGAATACAGCAACATCAACTCTCGATTCAGTATCTCCTGTGATGGAGTATCTAAACAAGCTTCATTAAATTGTACCAATTACTAAATAACATTATTGATAAACTTATTAAACATCTTAGCAGGTTTTTTTTTTATTTCCTTCAAACTATTAGACCTTGTAAAATCTGCTATACTGCAGAAACACTTTGTCTTGACTGTTCTGTTTCCTACACAATCCACTCATAGTTTCTGACCAACTGATCCTTCTCTCTCACAAGGTCATTCTTCACACTATGAACAATCAAGACATTGTTTATATCCATCTATGAAGCAAGACTTTTCTGTGTTAGCAACCTGTGCTCAAGTTTTTAGCACTCTGTCCATAATGAGTCAGCTTCTATGGCTTTATCAGTGGCTGTTCAATGTTTTAGAAAGTCAGGTAAATTCCCGATTGCAATTCAGATTTGCCGGTGTAGTTCCTCCTCTGAACTGATTTGGAATAGCTTTGGAAAATGGTTCTTTTAGAGAATTAAACCAGGACTTTTCTGTCTTGTCATACCCAGCGCCCATCCCTGGAAGTTAAGCAGCATTGCCCCCGCAGTCTCTATAGGATTGGCATGGAATCACAGAATGGCCTGGGTTGGAAGGGACCTTGAAGATCATCCTGTTCCAATCCCCCTGCCATGGACAGGGACACTTTCCACTAAACCAGGTTGCTCAGAGCCCCATCCAGCCTGGCCTTGAACAGTTCCAGGGATGGGGGTATCCACCTCCCTGGGGAACCTGTTCCAGTGCCTCACCACCCTCACAGCAAATGGAAGACGATGGGAAGATGCTCGGGTCGCTCGCAGAGACTCTTCCTGTGGGTGCTGGGATAAGTAGGAGACACGGTACACCCTGACAAGGAGCGCAGGCTCCGGTGCCTCGGGCGCGGCCGGGCAGGGGCGGTGCGGGAAAGGCGGGGGATCGGGAACAAAAGGAGGCGGAGAAAGGTGGGGAAGAGAGGGGGGCCACGTGACGGCGCGGGCGGACCGGAAGGGCGGGGTGCCTGCGGGCCGTGACGTGGCGGCGGCGGCGGAAGTGCGTGTGCGCGGGTGCGAGCGTGTTTGGGTCGGGGCGGCGGAAGTGGCGGCGGGGCCGGGACAGCTCGGCTGGGACACCTCGGCCGCGCCCCCGCCCCTCGCCCCCAGACGGGAGCCGCCTCCCCTCTCCCCCTGCTTCGCACACCCTGC